AGTCCAAACAGAAACATACAACTTAGGTTATATGCTTTTAAAGGGTCCTAATTATTGTTTCAAGCAACTTGCAGTGGGGTCATGAGGTCATTGGTCCTCTTTTGATTGCATTGTTGATCGTTTTTCTGCTTTGATAACTTTCAATCACTTAAGGGGGAGAATGAGACCTGACCATAAGCTGCAAGAAGCCAATCAAAGGGGTGTTAAAAATTTTGAGCTTTCACAGATACACAACAACAAAAATGTTCAATCAAATAATTTATTTATTTCTTTTTAAGACTGTCAATATTTCATTTTTAATTTGCAAAGTGTTAGATTGTTACCTGTAGACGTTAGGTTTAAGAGTTTTACTGATACAGTGAATGCTTTTAGAGTGCTAGTGGAGATATTTTGCTTTGTGATGTGCTGAAATAAATCATTCAGTGTACAACACAAGAAAGATTTCAACAGAAAATTTTCTGTTTGAGTTCTCTGCCAACTAATTGTACTGTAGAACCTTCCCACCATAAACTTGGCTTACTTGAAGTTCTAGCTAAGTCAAAATCAATGTCCTTTCCATTCCTGAAGGTGAAATCTATTTTCTCTACAGTAGTTATCCAAGTCTTACTGCCTGTAGAGATCACATGACACACATATATCCAAAGTTTTCAAACGGAGATGAAAGTCACCAAAATGCAAATTGTTAGTTAGTGTTTGCACATTGTTCAAATCCAACAGATGAAAATCCCAGTCTTGATTATAAAGCTTCTACCAATGATATAATTTCTTATCCTAGTATCAAGGCCTCCTGTTATTGTTTCTTCTTTTCTTGTTTCATTTTTCTCTTTTCTTTTTTGGCTTTCTCCCTGTCATGGTTTGCCTTTAAAATCCGGTAAATAAAGAACACTGAAATCAACCACATAACACAGAATCAGTATGTTAGAAAACTTGAAATACCATGAGGATTTATTACTCTTTTTTTAATTGCTTGATTCCATTGAAAAAGACCCCAAAATGAAGATCTTTGAAATTTTTCCTCAGTATTTTCCCTTGTTTTAAGTGTGGCAGGTAGGAAGAACTTACAAAGTGGTAGGGCAATTCTTTCACTTGTTGAATTTCAAGAATTCCAAGTGATTTTAGGGGGTTAAAAGTAGTACTACAGGCAGTAAATTTCCTAGTTAACACCTGAAAATGTTGCTTGCTCACAAGTAATTTAATGGAATGAAAAAAGGATTCCTGTATTTGTTAATAAGAAGGAAGACATTTATATCATTTTTAAAGGTTTCTCTCTGTTTACCTTACCCTTCTTAGAGACTAGAGCATAAATGAAAATACCAAACATCAAAAAACTATTCACTGAACTGCTTCTTAATTAGAAACCATCAAAAAGTCTTTAAGGAACAACAAATCCAATAGGCAAGCAGATATTAGCAAAGCCAGCTTCAGTAGTTAGAATCCTAAATAGAAAATAGCACCAGATTGTCTGTTATGTCTAGTATGTTTTACTTGAACAACAAAAGATTGGGTATTTGTTCTTGAAGTAAAAATCTTAAGCTGTGGGTTGAAAATAAATATAAGGATGTTTGGGTCTCAGTTCTCTTTTTAAGATTTCCTGTCACATTTGGAACTAAATCCCCTTGTCAGGACCTGCAATCATCTTATTGCTAGGACTGTTGTAATATAATTTTTCTTGATAGTTTGCTTGTTGAGGGGCACCAAGAAAGTAAAATTAAGTGCTAGATTGGACATGGAGCTTATTAAGGTGACAATGGCCTTTTCTTGCTCTTTAATGGTTCCTCAAAAAAATAAAAAGAAAAAAAAAAGGAACAAACATGAGCCACCTGGCTGGTTGCTTTATTCAGGGCAAACAGAGTCTTAGCCATTGGCTAGCAGAGAATTGAACAGAATGGCCCAATGTAATTTTTGAACCCACAGTAACTCTTAAAATTTAAATTTTCTGAACAAAATCCATGAACTTTCAGACCCAATGGGCAATAGACAAACTAGGCAACCAAGAGGCACTTAGTCTCTTGATCTGAAAGCAAATTCTCTTTCTTAATTTACAAGGAAGTGGTGGATAGCAGTTACACGAGAGAATTTGATGATTGATGTAATCTGTGAAATTAAAAGGTTTGAAAGGAAACAACTACGAAAGTTTTTACCATCAAGATTGAGAAAAAATCTTAGATCGTTAGCAAAACTACTACTGTATTAAATATGCTCAAGACTATTGACCAAAACAACATTATGGGAACAACTTCACTACTGAATCAAAGCTAAATTAAGGGGGCAACTTGAGTTTGTTCCTGCTCTGGAAGTTCATTCCTTTTTTTTTTTTAATAGAACTGCGCGATCGACAGAAATTCTACCGTCACAAAAAATGATCCTTTTATATGTCATAGGCTTCTAGGACGATTGTTACCGTGAAGCATTTTTCTGTGTCGTGACACGAGTATTAATAGGATCATCATATAGAAAGGTAGTATTTTAAAATAATTGTATGTTGTTAAAATACTGTGAACATTTACTTAAAAAATGAGGAGAATAGTTTTTGGATAAGAATTTGTTCCAGTAAGTGTTCCTGAGGATTAATGAACAGAATATGGATCGATGGCGATTGTAAGATTTATAACGGCTGATAGAAGCTAGTAAAAAGGAACTGAAAGATGATACAACTTACCAACTAAAAGGACTAGGAGAACTCCTGGTACAAGCAGAAGTTTTACATCAACTGAAAATTTTTCGTGAGATTTAGGATCGTTTAACTCAACCATTCTAAGAATATTAATTAACAAACTTTCCTCAGTTATCGATCAATGGAACGACCGATGATCTATTGACGTGTGTATACGTGAGTAACCCACAGAGCACAACTATGTGACCAGGCTTATGTATCAGAGTGCACAGGCCACCCAGGAATGAACGCTATCGATGCCCTCGGTAGTTGGAATCAGGTCTCCGTTTAGTTGCAAATTTGAGCATGTTACATAGAGATTTGCCGTGTAATGATAAGTTATATGAGCGAAAAGTTGGCGGGGCAAATAGGTCTCTTTTGTCTTTCAAATAGTTCTCGGATCTCCAGCTCCTCATTCCCCCTCCCCTCCACCCTTACTCTGTTTCTTCAACCAAAGCTTCTTTTCCCACAAAAACAGCAAATAGAACACAACAATCTTTTCTAGAACACAAAACATTTTTCTGGTACACAAACGGAAACTTAAACACAACACTGTAAGAATTAGGTAACTAATTTGGAAACTTTAGCACTTGGTAAATACACCATGGCTTGCAATTCTGATGATTACAGTTTGCTGAGGTAATTGAAATGTTAGTCCCCATGCAGGAACCTTCCACTTGACCTGTACAGTCATGTGCTATGAGATAACTTTAGAAAAATGCATTTGTGTTGACAGAACTATTGTGAATACAGTGCCACCTTAAGAGACAAAAATAAATAATTTCCTGTAAGCATCAACATTTGGGAGAAGGTATGGTGGTACATGACCCTTCTTTTGCTAGGATGCATAGGGTCTGATGATTGTCATGTATATCTTTTAGCTTTCAAACTTTCAACTTTGTATCAATTGTCAAAGTCACTGCCTGCTAAAATCTTCAGTTCCTTTGCCTTGATAGCTCAACCTCATCAAAACATTGCCAACAGGAGTGATTAGCAAATTATTGATACAGACAAGAGGGCCTATTCCCACATACATCCTCCTCAATCCTGTTAGCTTACTATGGTCATGGCATTTCAAACATTGTGTATATGCCACAAGTTTTCCATTTCCCTGACTAATTACTTTGTAATAGTGTTTATATGTTGAGGAAATGGTTGGGTTGAAATATAATACAAAGACTTGCCAGTAGATAGTTTTATTACAGTTTTTATTCAGTGTAACGTAGGGCTGGAAAATAAACTAATAAGAGCTCCGCTTTTAGGCTTAGGTAAATCTATATATTAGTGAAAACTGCTATACTTTAAATGGAGAATTCTCCCCACGGTTACGCGTGACCATGGTGAGAATTCTCCATTTTACTGCCTCAAGATAAAATAAGAATCTGAAACAAAAGGAATGATAAAAAATGCTGATAAAATGCATCATTTTACGCAACAGCACGTTTAAAGTCTAGACAGTCAGAACCATAGCTAGGAAACGTGATAAAGCGATTCACTGTTTTAAGATGACGAAACTACAACTAATGCGGGTATCAGCGGCCATCCCGAGGGGTCGACCCCCGGGCACCCAGGGGCATTTGTCTCAGCTGCCGTGACAAATACATGCTAAAGCCCCTCGGGTAGGGCAAAAAATTGGGACAAATACCCCCACCCCTGGAGCAACCTGGGCAACATATAGTCGGTGTTGCCTGTTCCTCGATGTAAAAGTACGAGTGATCATGGTTTACTGAAGCCACATCAGCACTAAAATCCACACAAGTCTCTATGGAGTCCTCAAATTCGAGCTTTCTGGGGCAAACTTTCTTGGCTTGCGGTTGTTATCACACTGTCTCTTCCTATCGGCAAGACGCTTCGAATGCGAACTAACCGTACGAAATTGAAATCTCGATGTCGCTTCCTTAAAATGCAATGAACAGATTCTTGGATCGCCGAGTGTCTTGATTTTTTTATACGCTCGCTTACAGAAAACCTCCCACTTCTTACGCTCATTGGGCCTTGTAGGAAAGCAAAAATAACTGAGATCAGGTCGTTTATTACTCCCATTACGGTACAGAGAAACAGCACAATACTTGACCATGGTACACAGCTGAAAACCGATGAACGTTGAGACAGCAGATTACGTGCAAATCCCGTGGGTATGGCCCTGGGGTATTTTGCCAAAAACGCAAAAGCGCTCTAATGCCCCGCGTGCGGGGCATGCCTTTGCTACAAATCCCCTGCTAAGCCCGTGGGTTGCCCTTGTGTTGCACGGGGGTCGACCCCTCGGGATGGCCGCTGATACCCGCATAAAGGGCGCCTAAAAACTATGAAAACTATAGGGTTATGACGTAAGACCCCACATAGACTGTTTCATTTCAAGCTTGACGTGTCCATTCTACTTTCGTATTTTCGGCGGCGTAAACCAACTGCTGTAACACTAAACCATTTCGGTTTGTACTAAACCTTTTGTGGTCACGCTAAACCATTTCATTTTACGGTGAGTAGATTGATACAATGCTAAGCCTTTGCGGCTTACGATTAACCATTTGCCATTTCACTCGACTCTGAACCGTTTGTGTCAAGTCACTGAACCAAAGTACAGTCAGCTGAACCGTTTGTCATTTTGACACTGACCCATTTCAGTTAACACTTGGCCAATCGTGTTTTTATTGAATCAGTTCAACAAAGGTGGCTTCACAGTATAAACCATTTTTTGTTTGAATATTTCAATTCACTAAAGGCAACTAAACCCATTTGTATTTTAAATAAATCTCTTGAGAAATGATAAACCGTTCTCCAAAAGACCATTAGACCATTTCTGTTTATTACAATCCATTTATTATGCCTGTATTTTTTGCGGTGACGGCCGCCCATTTTAGCTCCTTGTTAGGTCAGCGACCAGACCGCTGACAAGGAGCCAAAACGATCTCAAGATCTAGATTAACCTTTCCTCTTTCTAGCCACGCGCGACCCAGCGCGAGATCTAACACATGCGGGAGAAATGGCCGCAGCTCAAATTTTCGGTGTGGGTGAAAACTGTAAACCATCGTGGGGAGATGCTGCAGCAGATTATGATGAAGCAGACGAGCATTTGGAAATCATGGGGAAACCTGTCATGGAAAGATGGGAAACCCCTTATATGCATAAACTGGCTTCAATAGCTGCGTCGAAAGGTGGACGGGTACTTGAGCTCGGCTTTGGAATGGCGATTTCAGCGACGAAAATCCAGACTTTTCCCATAGACGAGCATGTTATCGTTGAATGCAATGATAACGTCTTTAAACGGCTGGAGAAATTTGCCCAAGTAGCTGAAAGGAAAGTAACTGCGTTGAAAGGCAAGTTATTTAGTACGGTATGATGTCATGCAGATCTAAGAATTCATTCCAAGTTGCAGGCATTGTTGTGGGATGAAATTTTGAATGTAAAATACACCTAAATTTTTGAAATGGTGCTACATCGTGCCCTGTAAGAAGAAAGTAAACAATTATTTAAAGTAAAACCAAGCATTTTGCTCACAAAGACGAGGGTAGAATTTCCGCACAGCCCCATACTATTGTAAAACAAATCTGTTTTCCCAATGGCTATGCATTGTTTTAGTCATTGTTTTCTCTATTCAAGAACTGAATGTATAATGAAGTATGGGGCTGTGCGGAAATTTTACCAAGACGAGCTCTAAGGAACTTACAATGGGAAACATTTCCAAAACTCTCAATGCATATTGAGCCTACAAACGCAGAGGACCAGAAAAACGTAAACCTCTCGTTAATGGCGTATGTGGTTGCTGGCTACATGCCTCACAGCGCTGCAATCAGGTGTAAACTTACTCATCCATTTAACTCAATTTTTTTTCTTTTTTTAATGAAAGGAGAGGTTGAATTGCAGACACTTTGTACTTCGTGTATTTTGTACATTAGAACCCTACTGCTGACTCGAAACTGGTTGACTCGAGCAAGATCCGATTTTCCTTGAATTTGACCCCATTTCTATCAGCAAACTCGAACCCGGTTAACTCGAAGTCCCTGTTGACAACAACTAATTTTACATTCCCTTAGCACAAATTTAACATCGTAACTCGTACTTTAAATGAAAACGTCAGTCGACGAACATCTAAGTGTCAGAAAATAGCCAATTTTACAGGTTCCATTTATTAGACATTTGACTTCACTTTCCAAACTAATGTTGTTATCAATAAGCTCCTATAAAACAGACTAAGTTTCCCAAAACCACTGTTGATTCAGATTTTGTAAGGGGTAAGAGAAGCAAAAATATCATTCCTTACCAAAGTTAATGAGATAATTTGAGTTCAAAACTTCTCCAATAACTCAAGCTGCCCCTTCCCCTCCTGACTTCCACTGACTCAAACCATTTTTCATCTTTTTCTTGCTATTTGAGTTAGTAGGGTCTACCAAATGTTTATTTTTGTACTAAAATTAATGATGCTGTTTATAGGCTTGTGGGAAGATGTTGTTCCTGCCTTACCCAATGGTTCATTTGATGGCATTATGTATGATACATACCCCTTGTCAGAAGAAACATGGCACACACATCAGTTTAATTTTATCAAAGACCATGCCTTCAGACTTCTGAAGCCAGGTGGAGTTCTGACATACTGCAACCTGACTTCATGGGGTGAATTGTTAAAGACAAAATACAATGATATCGAAAAGATGTTTGAGGAGACACAAGTTCCAGAGTTACTCACATGTGGGTTCCTTAGAGAACACATATCAACTGAAGTCATAGAGGTTGATGTGGCACCAGATTGCCGCTACTATAGCAACAGGGAAATGATTGCTCCCACAATCATTAAGAAGTGAAACTGGCTTAAAGTCTTTAGCTCATTTCCATGAATTTTTTAGGGTGTACTTGACACATTTTATTATGAACTGTAAATCTAATATTTATGCAAGTGATATGCAGCATCCATTTCATTTCTAATGAATTTCTAGAGGAACAGATTATTGTCAGGGGAAGTTATAAATGTTTTTGTGGCTCTTGGTTGATGTTACTACAACAATAGGAATATTATTGCTCCTATTTTTGTTAAGTATTAAAATAAGGTTAAGAGAATGTTACTATTGACTTGACATGATTTGCCACCCTTTTAGACCACTCTGCTGAAATATCTTAAAGACCCCAAAAAGGTATCTGACTACCACTACAAGTGAATCCCAACTTAATAACTATTTTGTGGGATGAAAACACCAAATCAATTCCTCATGTACAAGTACCTTTAATTCCATCATCCTTACATGTTACTTCCATAATCATCAATGATAATCAAAACTATTTGGAGAAAACAGAAACCTGTACAGCTGCCTTGCTTACACCAAATACATCAGAGATTTACCCAAACACAAACCCTAAGGTAATGGGGATTCACTGATTTATCCCATGAAAAAATTTATCTAAGGTCCTTAAATCGAAGACCCATAGGACTGATCAGGCAAACAAGAAGAAGCAAGCACTTAAGCATCCTTTGGGGGACAAGTTCAGCCTGTAGCTTACCTTCAGCGCATCATCCCCCAACTCAAGAAACATCAAAAATTGACGGCTAACCTTTACTTTGCTTAGCACTTTTATCTTCTCCTTAGTTAACTATGCTGGATAAAACTAATGTTAGATCTAACCTACTAACCTCTGCATTATATGTCTACATGAAATGTAAAAAAATAATGGTAAAAGGGCAGTCTTTCAGTACTGCAAAAATTATATTTAGGAAAACAAGGAAAAATGAAAATTAATAACTAGAAAGTTTTTGTTTGGGGTTAATATAGCTTTTTATACACAATACTGTAGGCAGTAGTAGGTAAATTTAACAAATAGATCCCAAGTTGCTGTGTGTCTGTTTAGTAATAGATCACAGATGATGTCCAAATGTGGTATAACAAAAAAGTGGCACACGAGGCGCAGCCAAGTGTGTCACTGATGTTCTTACCACATTTTGACGTCCTCTGTGATCTATTACTGAACTAATAATATACATGGAAAAATTACTTAGTTCTGATTGGTTAAGATAAATGCAGTTTTCAGGTAATTCAGTGCAGTAGAGAGTTAATTCAGTGCAGAAGAGGGTTAATTATCAAATCATTATTGGTCAATAATCAAAGAAACTCACAGATAGCCAATCAAATGCGAGCCTTGGATGTCGCAACAAAATTTGAAAATTTGCGAGCGAAACAATGGCCCGTGTTTTAAGTAGGCTTTCTTTCGCCACCGCAGCTGAAAAACAGCTTAAACAACGAAAACATTGTAAAAAGCACTGCTTTTTGGTTGTCGTTTTGGAAAAAGTGGTGTTTAGAGAAGGGAATTGCCGAGGAAATCGAAAATTACACGAGCCGACCCAGCTTTACACTTTGCTCGAGCGATCACACGCCGAAATTAAAAAACAAACATGGTTAAACCTGGGAAACGACGATTCCATTTCATCGAAAGTGATTCCGACACAGACTGAACAATTCCTTGAACTGTTTAGCCGGACTTTGAACTTTTTTGCATCTTAAAGATGTGAAGATATCATTGCATAATTTATTATTGTTTTGATCGTACGCGGTTGTTTTGACCGAACGCGAGGTTTGAATAAATTATCTTTGCACTTGACGTGCGCGCTTTGCTTATGTTTAATTATGATAAGCCATCTCGTATTTTTCCATGTATATTTTTAACACGTAATCACATTTTTCTCGTGCAATTTGGAATAAACAAGCACTTATTAATTTTTTCAAAGACCACAAATTGCACTCGCCCTACGGGCTCGTGCAATTTTGTTAGTCTTTAAAAAAATATACGGAAAAAAGTGAGAACCAATCAGAATGTGTGCATAACTGAGCTTATTATATAATTAAAATTAATCAACATGATCTGCAAAGTTAGCTTTCTTTGCTAATGCCTTTAAATTTCAAGATTTGAGAGCATGCATAATGCTCCACCATCTGGTTAAAACTATAACATCTAATTAATATTAACAAACTTATGTTTTATACTCAGTTATCTATACACGATTTTAATTTACTTATGTGATAACAAATTGAACTAGACTACTAAACAGTCATGCTTCTTGCTAATTTATTGCTATAAAAAATGTCCAGTGTACTGACTTATTTCAAGATTTGAAACTGAGGAGATTTGGAGGTTGGAAACCAAATGATGCATAGAACAGAAGATAACCAGCTGGTGTCTGAAAAGGAAATACACTAGTCTTGTTAGTATGAAGTTCAAAAGGGCATATGATTTAAAAACAATCACTTTAGATTTAAAACTAGAGAATATAACTGCTCCTACTAACATAAAAAGTGCAAGTTGAAAACAACCAAAAGGTTCAAGGCTGCTTTTGCAGATAGTTGATAATTTTTGTCATGAATTCATTTTGTAGTTCTCTATGGCCATTGTTTGGCAGTTTGTTTCTCTTTTTCTTTTTTTTCTCTAATCTTTATGAGTGAAAAAATATAAATTTGTATCTATTTCACTGTTTCAACCTACTGTTCTAAGGAAAAAAAAATTATTTAGGAAAGATTTTTGATCAATGCTTGTGTATTGTTCATTTTCCCACCCATGTTTCCTGTTTCCATGTTGTAGCTGTGGAAATGTTGCAATCAATACATGATTTATTCGCCTGACATTTTACATCGTCAGGCAACTGATCAAACATTTATCTTTAAAACCATGATGAGCTGCAGCACTCTCTACAACAATGTAACATATTTCTCTGTAAACATAACTTGGTAACAAAAATACAGCAACACTGACTAGAGAGGTGGGAGAGAAGGGTGTTTCATTTAATTCAGGCATCAACCCTTTAACTCCCAGAAGTGATCAACATGAAACTTCTCCCCACAATATCCTTACATTATCCAACTAACAGGTAATGAGAATATTCAAACTTGTCAGGTAAAAGTTGACATCTTAATCTTAAACCAAATTCTCATAACTAATTTAAAACGATATGTGTAGCAGCTAGAGGGGAGAATCAACAATCAGATCTTGGGAGTTGAAGGGTTAAGATTTTAAGAACTGAAGCAATCATATTCCCATGAACAAATTGTCTCTAGAGGTTTTTTCCACAAATGTAGGTTTTCATTGCTTGTCCATATAGAGAGCACCCTTAAAATGTGTTTTTTTTATACCTTATCTCAAGCAACATGTTGGTAGCAAAAAAGAACAAAAAACCTTTCAGTCATTTTATGCCTTAACCTTCTCATGTGACTAAGATTAATCAAGCTTAGAATGCTGTTGAAGGTTGTTCAGTTATTAATATGAAGCACAGTTTATAGCACCTTAAACAAATCAATAAAAGATAACGAGAGGAAGACATACCACAACATCTCGAGGAGACATCTCAGTTACATATTGGTCATCAAACTTGTACCATTTTTTATCATAAACATTCTTTGCAAATGCAGTGTAATGGCCCCCATGCATGGTTCCATAATGATTTGATACTGCAAATAAGTTGTAAGGACGTGCAGCAGACTTGGGACCCACAACAAAGGCAGACATTTCCAGTTCAGTCATGGGGAATTTCACGCCTGTCTGGAGCTTTTGACGCCACATTCCTTCATACTGAAATCTTCAAAAAAATTAACCAAACAAATGACAACATCAGCCAAAATTGAATTTGAAATATTACAGACTGAAGTAGCACAAACCATCAAACTATGAACACTTTCTTATAATATTCTCTTGGCAGAATTTAATATAGAATAGATCAAGAAATGATTTAATGGCAAATTGAAAATGATAAAAACAGAGAAATTTCAAATTTAGCATTGAAAGTAATCCATAAATGCATTGTTTTGATTTGCAATGCTTTGTGGTTGGTCAAGAAGACTTAAGCCACCCTCTCTGCAGGCAATAATCAAAGTTACCTTTTCAGGTGGACCACAAGAATTCTTGGAAGCTTCCAGATCTGGATTTTTTTACTGGCTTCCCTTCTCTGTTGACACTTTGGACAAAACCTAACAAGAAAATAAACATTAATTAATATTTTTTCAAGAATCAGCAATAAAAAAGGACACCCCCCCCCCCTTCCAGCACAATCCCTTAAAGAGTACCTGATGTAAATGACTTAACTTCTCACAAATGTAATCTACTGTAAATACATGGTTATGTATAAATTTAACCCCTTGCTCATATCAAAAGGACTTTCATGATTATATCAAAAGAAATGTCACAACAACATATAAGTAAAGCCATTTATTCATGCAGCAACAATGAGCATTATCCTTCTTTTTCATCATTGCATGGCCTAAAAGAAATTTGTAACAGTTTTTTAAATTTAGAACCCACCCTTAATTTAAAACAAGGTAATCAGAACTTTATTTTAGAAGGAAATTATTTACACCTAACTTTCTGGCCTGCTGTTAGAGGATTAGACCTCAGTGTTTTAAATATTAAAATATTTTAGGATTTAGAACACACAAGGCTTTTTCGAAGTAAAAGTTACATTACGTTAACTAACTAGAAACCCACCTTGTAATACCTGGATATGAAATCAGATGCTTGGGTTAGGAATTCAAGACAATTATCAAGCGAACACATGCATCAAGGTTTTTCCAGTACAAAAGCTTTTTATTTACTTCTTTCTTGGCCTTACTGACCAACCCACTTTCACAAAAAAAAAAATGTAATCAGAAAGAAAAACTTTTATACTGTCTTACCACTTGTCATCCCCTGCCATTTTCTCAGGTTTGGTGAACAAAGTGAGACAATCCTAAAATCATAATATAAAATAGTTCTAATTACTGGACTAAAACCTACCATATGGTGATACCTGAGATGACTCAGTGGGCACACATTACAATTATCACCATATGATAATAAAACTGCCATATGATAAAAAAAAACTGCCATTTAGCCTCAAGCACATGCAGGGCCATTTTCTCGAACATAATTTGTTTATTCAGATGATGCTTATTCCACAGACCAAAGAATAACTTCACAAAAAACAAGTCATGGATATTTTTTGCACATAGATATTCTTCTCTATATATAAATTGGTGAGAATACCTCAAGTGAACAATGACTCTTGTTAGGAGGCAGTGGAAGAGTGAGGTTGGAGAAAGAATCAAAAGTTCTGGATTCTTTGGAGCAAACCATGCAGCGTACAGTCGACATGAAGAGGCCCTGAAAATGCAAAACATAGCAATCTAGTTGCTTTGCGATGTTATGCAACATTTAATGATTCAGTTTGGCTAACAGAAGTTGGGAAATCTTGTTGAAGCAAATATTTGTAAAATTTGCCATCAAATTATTCTCTATTGTAATTAGATTACCTAGTGTACCCACTCATAACTCAGTACTAAAACTTAAAACTTACAAAACTTTATTTCTCAGTTTCACTCATAAACAATCCTATATATTATTATTAAACATAATATCAAAATGAATAGTACTGTCAGTAGTGATGTTATCTTACATCAAACAACTCCACCATAATTGACTCATTCCTCTTCTTGTGGTTTTCCCAAGCCATAGTAGCAGCTGTCTGGGGATCTAAGTCATCAGCAGGTGCTCTAAGATAAGGTTTGTTTTTCACCTAGGAGACAAAAATATGATGGAATAATCTGACAAACCACATTATAAGAAACATTGGGTGTACTTTGTGTCATCTTGCCTTCAAAACACTAGTAGCAGGGCTGAAAGAAACATTTAGCTCAAGATGGGATGAGAACAGCTTATTTCCCATTATCCATTCATTTCCTTACTCACCCCTTGTTGCTTGTGTTCAAAAACACAAGCCAAAAACCTTGCAAGACAAATTACTTAACTGTGTTAATAACAGGCCATTAAAACATCTTGCATTTTTTCAATAAAATTAGCATCAAGGTGTTCTCAGAAGACAAGACTTCAGACACCTGCAGTACCTTGTTTAGATCCTCCTGCAAACCATCCATTAAGAAGGCTAGGAGTTCTTGAGAATCTTGTTGGTCATACCCTGAGAACTGTGACTTGAACTTTCCAACTGTCCGTTTAAATTCTATTGCAGAAACACATTTATACTGCCCAGAATGCAAGACTCTGACAAGAACTGAGAAGCTTTCAACAAGTTCTCCTGAAAATAGATGTGAAGTCAAGAGTTTGAGCTAAAATTAAGAAGCACTCCAAACACTCTGATATCTCAAAAGCTGATTTTCAAATGAAAAGTAATTCTTGATGTTATTGAGAGCCAAAACACATAGAAAAAAACACTACAAAAAAATCAAAATTATAAATTTAAATTAAAAGAATTATTCATGAAATCTACCTACCCTTTGTTCCATCTCGATTACTCCTATTAATGTCTTCCCTGAATACTCCAGAAATGAAATATGTTGCCAACGGTGCCACACTGCTTAAGCACTGCACCACAGAATTCATATAACAGGTATTTCCCAGATTACGTAGTCCAGTTAACCCTATTCCTGGACCACCATAGCTTGGATTAAAACTATCAAGCTGATTGGCAGACAAAGGTTTGGCAACGCGGTTCACAACTGGCCTTGCAGGTCCCTTTTGTCCAGAATCTGGTTTTGATAAGCGATCAATTATTGGCTTCTTGGGACCAGAAGAGCCTTGATCTTTGACCTTAGCAAGATTTGGTGAAGAATTAGATCTGTGCAATTTTGGCCTTTCTACTGAAGACTGTCTTTTCACTGGAGACTGCTGCTGCCTTTGTGCACCAGACTGTGGCGTAACATATGCTTTTCCAGTTGTTGGTGGATTCCAATGTGTTGTTTGTGTATTATGATCTTTGTAGTAAGTTCTGTTTCCATCATCAGTAACCTTTTCCCATCCATGTGGCAGTCCTGGTGTGGTGACAAAGTTACTTGGCCGGCTATCAGGTTTTTGAGCAGAGTCTGAATTCTTTGGCAGAGCTGGGGATTCAGAGTCTTTACCAACAGTTGTGGTTGGTTTACTAGCCCCATTCTGGACAGGTCCTTGCACGAAATGCTGTGGGCTTCCTGATTGAGGTGCTGCACTAGGTTTCACAGCAGTAAAATTTGTATTCCTTGTATCTGCTCCTGAGATAGAAGTTGTGATTACTTGATGACTTTGTGATATGGGAATAGATGACCCATCAGGATCTTGCCTGCCAATATGCGGCACCTGACTCACTGATGGAGCAACAGGTGGTTGATTTTGTGGTTGTACCCTTTGTGTTACTTGCTGTGACACATTGTCAGGGTAGGGTGGAGAAACAAAACCTGAGCCTTGTGGGGAGGATGAAGTTGATACTGCTGGAGTCACTTTCACAGAAGCCAAAGGCATTACTTGAGAGGAAGTAGAGTTCACACTGGAAGGCTGGGTGCCAGGAATAGATACACTGGGCTGTAGGGTAGATTTTGTGTTGGGGGGTCCTGACTGAGCAGACAGTGTATTTGAAGAGCCTGTGAATGGCACACTTGACTGTGGAAATGGCTTTGTAACAGTTGCACTTGACTGAGAAGATGGCTGGGTACTTGGCACTGTTTTGGGAGCAGTAGTAGGAATATTGGGCTGAAAAATAGGTTGACTTGATGGATGGGGTACCATTGTTTTTGGCACAGGGCCTGTTGCCCTCAAATCTGCTGAAGATGGAACAACTGCCTGAGGAGCTACTCCCATATATGACTGTGGTCCTGCTGAGGGAAGTGGCAAACCTTCAGATGAAGCAACAGATTGTGTTGGTGGCAACTTCACTGGTTCTTGTTTTGGAGCTTTATCTTGGGGAGGACCTGCATCAGCAGGTCTTGGCAATTGAGTGTCATTGGGAGGTTGTGAAGGAGGAACTACAGGATGAATTCCTAGTTGCTTAGACTTTGCTCCTGGACCATGATTCCAAGCTGCTCCTGATGGAGTCTCTCCAGGTTGTCCTGATAGTGGTACATTAGAATTGAATTCTGCTTGTGTTGGGGAGGGTGGTTTGTTTTGTTCAGTACTGCCTTTTGGACCTTGCATATTTTGAAGGTTGGCAATTGGGACACCAGGATACTGCAAAGCGCTGGATGTAGGATCAGTCACAGTAGACTGAGGGGTTAATGTCTTATCTTCAGGTAGTTCAGGATAGTCTAAAGATGACAAATCCACAGAATTTACAGCTTTAGGTTGTGTCCTTACCTAGTAAGAGTAAAGAACAGCACATATTAGACTAATTAACATGTAAAAGTGCATTTATTTAACTGGAACCTTCTGCCTTCTAGTGTGCTATTTATCAAATTAAGACCATTTGCCTCATCATAGTAAAACTAACATTTAAAGACAAATTTATGGTATTTCTACGAAATTAATTTCAATGCTTTCTTCACCCAGGCAAAACACACCATCTGTCCCTGGCCAATAAATCATGTCTAACAAGGGCTCAGAGTCATAAAGCACCCTCAATGGTCAAAACTGCATTTATTCACAATGAATATGAGTAAGCAGAGGTATAATGAAGTTTTAGAGTCATTGGTAAGTATCCTCTCCATGACATGTCTCAAGCTATTTATTCTCGAGTCAGTCAAGTAAGTCAAAATCAGAGAATTTCCAAAATACCGTTGGTAATTCTGGTTTCATGGCCAGTGATGGATAGTGCCAAAGCCAGCTATGAAATCCACCATCAAGAAATACAGGTTCATGTTTCAATGAGCTGTAGGAGTCATAGGTGAATATCACATCTTTGAGCCTCTGAATTCTGCATTCCGGGGTTATCTCTGAAAACTTGGTCGATTCATCCATTAAAATAACAAGCTCTTTTTCTCCTCTCCTGTTCCAAGTCTTTCTTGTTCGTTCTGGCAGTCTTCTCTCTATGCTGCCAACTGAAACCCTTGAAAAGAAAATTGATTTAATTCAACTCAAACAGTCGTTATACTTTAACTCTCTCACTAATAAAACATAGCACTTACCAAAACCTTCTGCAATGTTACTCAGTCTATAACAATACCTACCACAAATTGGCTTACTGGTAATTATCAAAACTTCACCAACATAAACTTTAGTTTGGAACTTGCTGAGAAATAGATCTGACAACTAATTGTTCAATTTGGATACAACCATTCCAGTGAGAATAATAACAATATATGTTTCATACCCTTGATCCAGCAATTCAGCAGGAATATTAATACAACAAGAACACTGGATCCGATTTTCAGCAAACTTGGCATAGGGTCGACAATCAAGGATCAGAATTTTGAACTCAGAATCTTTTATGCGCTTGTACAGTTCTTGTGCTGATATAAACTTCACACCATCTGAGACAAGTGATGAGGTAGGAGACTCCACTCCACTTATAAGTGCACCTAAAAGAAAAACCAATGAAATGCATGCCACCAGCATTCAAGTTAAACAACCAATAATTATTGTAAGGGGTGCCTGACTCTCTCATGAATCTCTTCCAGAAAAGACATTCATTTACCATCTTTACTGATCTAAAGAACCATAAGATTCGCATAAACTTAGACATACATGTATTACGTCTCATTTCCAATTTGCAAATTCTTACATTGCTCAAATTTTGAATTCCCTGTTACCTAAAATATACAAATGTTTAAGGTGAATCTTTCATGAAATTGTAAAACTTACCACTGTCATTTTCAGTTGTTTTTGGAGTAAGAATAGAATTATGGTTGACCTGAAGTTAAAAGGCACACTTTATGAAGATTATATAATTCCACAAGTGGATGAAAACTTTGTCTCCTAACCAATCATATTCTTTTCAACAGCCTTTACCTTCACACATTAACATTTCCCCTTCTTTCAATCATAATTCCCCCACTCATGATTGGCAAAGAAATTTTGATCCTAAATACTGCACACAATTTTAAAACTAACATATTTGAAAGCTGCAGGTCTACTGATAATCTTGTAATTGTGATACTAATACTTTACTATTCAAATCCACTTATAATTAACTTGAAGAGCCTCTCAAATGTTTTTTTTGTTAATACAATCAAATGATAGAACTCTTCAGAGTGGCTCATATTGTAGCATAAAATACACTGAATTCATCTTTTCCTTTATTGTACCAGCCAGATTTAATCTCCCAAGTCCTAAACTCCAGAGATCCAACTAGAAATCCTCCTGACTGACTGCCATACATTTCCTTGTATATTAAACAATAGAAGTTGGTGTAACATTGATTGAAAAAACACTTTAGCTGATAAGCTTAGAAGTCTTAATAGATGAAAGAAGAAGACAGAAACATCACTTCTCCACATGCATGAATGTTCACACCTGAAGCTTGTTATAAACATCAGAGGAAGAGCTTATGCCATTTCCATTTTGGAGAGAATCAACATCACTCTCAAAGCCACTGTCACTAACAAAGTAATCAAACAGAAAATAAACCCTCCTGAAGAACTTAAAGTATCATTGTGTCATGGTATTTGACATTCTACAATTTATTTACAATGCTTATCTGGGAGAGTAAACCATTCAACAGATGTAAAAAGTGTAAATGTCAATATGTATGAGAATCTAGATTTAAAAAAATGAAATTTCAGTTTTAAAAAAGTGTTTATTAGAGAAAGGATTCCTTCTATTTCATGGAGAGTCCCTAATTTCCACTTTATATAGTCCATTAAGAATAACTTTATACAGGAAAGGTAGGTTAAGTCTGTACTGGAGCCAAGTGGCTTATCTAGCCAGATCTTATTGAAGTTGTGATGGAATGAAGTGACTGGGAGTTTTACTACTCCCTCCTGGATGGGCTGTAAGTCCATCACAAGGTTACCCCCTGCATTTCATCAGGCTTCCCTCATGATGCCCCAGTATCCAATTACACTCCTGGGTGGTGACAGGCACTGTGAAAGTAAAGTTCTGTTCCCAGGAACACAACACAACAACCCAGCCAGGTCTCAAATCCAGACCTCTTGACCTAGAGTCCAGCGCACTAGCACTAACAAATAAGTCACCAAGTCTCCCATACAACTGTCAGTACAAGTCCCTAGTATTTCTATCAGAATGTTTTCAAAACTTATTCTCAAACTCATTAATAATTCATGACCTTATAAGCCAACCAGAGAGCCCCATTCAGGTCAGGTGGATGACTTTGAAACTCAATGAAACACCAGCTTAAAATAACTAGTGTTTCATCACATTTTCATCATTAGTGTTTCATCACATTTTCATCAGTAGTGATAAAATTGTTCTTAATCTGCATGAATCAGAAAATGCTGCAGACAATCTGGTACAATTTTTTTGAGGGGGTACAGATCTTTGGAACACTTTGCCAACTCTTGAACAAATTTGGATAACCAATAGTTGAGCATCAATGCATCCATCTCTGTTATGGGCTGAGTAAGCGGCTGAACTTTGTCCAATTCATACTCTTTAAAAACTCCACCAACTTCGACTATTGGAAACTTGACACTTTGCACTCATTGCCAATCCTCAAAAATGCCTACTGCCCACTTATTTTATATCTGATAGACTTCGGTACCACTCTCTCTAAGCAAAGTTTTTCTTCCTCGATCGTTTTTGGGAAGCGAAACCTTCCTTTGTCCATGGCAAAAACAACATGTAAATCACTTCAAGTTCACAATGCTTTTGGAATACAAATTTGGTGCAACAAAAAACTATTGGATAATTAAAAACAAAAGCTCACAAACACAACGAATGCTGACTGAATACAACAAATCACACATACAAGGCATTTTAAAGAAAAATGGGAAAAACAAAACACTGCATAATTTTGTATTGTTTCTCTGGAAAAGTCATTTCAAAAACTCATGCTTCAGGTTTCATCAGGTTTCCAAACACTTGAAAACAACAAAACCGCTCGGCCTGCAGCCGTGTGGTTTCAAATGTTTTCTCACATTTGGAAACCTGATGAAACCCTCGCACTTGTTTTTGAAATAGTACATCAAATTTAGTTCACTAATGTCCAAAGCAAACTGACATTTTTGGGATTCATATACATATGAACAGAATGATACGGTAAATTGACATCTTCTTGTGCATGTCATTCATGATTCAAGATCATGTTTTAGTTGTTTACCTGTCTGTTCCCTTTCCATTCCTTGCCCTTGATGCAGCTAATTTTTCTACAAACCAAACAAAGAAAAACTCAAATCATTACTATTAAAGGATAATGTGATCTTATTCTTAAATAATTCAAAAGACTGTGGGACACCTTAATTTGTAATCTAGTAATAAGGCTTATTCATTCAAGATATGATTTTGTGTTACATTCCAAAGTTTGTTTTAAAAGCATATTTTGTAAAAGATGAAATTCAACTGGATTATAAATTAAACCATTAAGAGGGAAAAAGTTAAAGAAATTCCAAGGAGAGACAACCTCCAATCAGCAAAAAAATTACAGGTATTTGGTACATAAAATCCATGTAGCCAAGTTAAGGGAGGTATTTATAAATGAAATTTAAATTGAAGCACTGTTAGCTTTGCCTCTTCCACTCCTCAAATTTGTGCTATTACAGAATCACAGAAAACAAGGTGCACCATTGTACATGAGAAGAAGGGTTTAAAGTAAGGATATTGGGGATGAAATAAATGTGCTATTTTAAAGTGATAATAATTCAACTTTTGGCAATTTGTCAACAATTTTGTAACTTATTGTATATACCGGAGTTGAGACAGTACATGTAACCACATACTCACAAAAAAAATTTTAAAATTATTTAACAATGACAAATTATATCATCCAGTTATGAATAGTGTGCATGAATAACTATATGGGCCATACACAATACATAAAATCACCATGACGAAACTTAAGCTACACACTAAGACACACTTGTTGAGTCACCTACAACCTTCAATACCCTGAAATCTGAGGGGTGACAGAGATACACTGACAAACAACAACATTATTGAGAGAGAGAGGGACAAACAAACATCATGAACATCTCTCTGGAGAATTGTCCAAACTAGTTAAAGATGTCTAGGAGTGTTCATTTTGTTTTACTTTTGTCTTCCTCTTCCTTTTGCTTTGCTTCTTCCTGCGCTTTTGCCTCAGCTTCCTTTTGATCTTTTAGCTTCTTATACCTGAAGAAACAGGTTTTCAAAGGTTTTGTGATAGTTCCTTTGGCAACAATACAAAGGTAACTTGTAGTAACTTCAAAACCTTGAATCAAATCTGATTAGTTGAACAATATCTTAGCAAATACATCATTTTAATTTTGTTTTACAATGAATTACAATGTATTGTTCTTAAAGTATCTAAAAAATGTTGGTTTGGTTTGAGGACTGTTGTAAATTAAGTAAAGAAGTTGTTTTTGAGAACTGTTATACCTTAATTGAGCATTTCTGCATCTTATATGCCAACTACCAACCTTTTCTTGAGGTTTTTTTGCAAAACTTCCGCACGCTCAATAGACTTTATAGTTTTGTTTTTCCCCAACAAATTATCATAATGCTTCTGTGAATTCAAACACACCAGAAATAGGCTTATCAGTATGTCAGATGTAACCATGATACAAAGAAGTATATCATTGTATGTACAGTGTACATGCAGACAACTTTACAACAAAATAATCCTTCTCTCCCATTTCTTGAGGTAATTTCCTCAGTTTCCCATTATGATTTTTCAAATGTAGTAACAGTAACTGTAGATTAACATTTCATTTTAATCTGCTAACACTTGAAGGAAAGCCTTGGTACACAGTAACCTTCTCACCCCTAAGAATGACTAGCTTCTAATTTCTCGTTACAGTATCACCCCTGAATCAATTGAAAAGGTCATGAGAATAAAGGAAAAAATCACCAACTCAAGAAGTCCCTGATTGTTAAACAAATTCTCCCTTTCAGTACCATAGGAAATGTATAGAGGACGGTGAGGAGAATACAATTGTAAAAGCTAATGCTAGGGTGTAATAAATTAACTAAAGACATTGCTCATTACCCACCTTGTTGTCTGAGTATTTACTGCTTTTTTTAATCAAGCAGATGATGTTAAAATAACGCATGTAATATACATATGCACTCTCTTCGTCACCTTCCAGATCATTATCTTGAGCTTTCAGGTAAACTTTATCCGCTGATTTGATGTATCTATGTATGCAACATGAAACAGGTGTTTTGGTACATTTGCAGTAGTTTAAATTATTACCCCAAGTGAAATGATTTCAGATTAGCTGATTTTCAATTTCCATTGTTCAAGAACCACTCTAGAATTAAAAATTAAGCAATTCAAACTTGTTTCGTTCACTTTCACCCTTGATTCAATTTAAACTAAGAAGCAAAGTGCACGCAACTTATAGTGAGAGCTGAACAGAAACAGTGAAAATTTAAATCGGAGGGTAAAGAAGAAAATTTCTGTGCCCAAAGGAGAAACTTGTGCTTTCTTAAAACTAATCTATATCTTTAGAACATCGTACATCTTTGGAGATGGGACTTGAACTATTGCTCTCTGATAAAACCTAAAACCAAAATGTAGATTCTATGCATAGATACATTTTCCTTGTGAAGGTGAAGTAATTACGTTTTAAAAATTATATTCAAATCGAAACCAGATCACTCATCAGGGTAATGTAGATGTTGTGGTTCAATTTTATGCTTTGTTCAAATTTTATTTTCCTTTGTTTCAAACTCATTATCATATATTTCAATTCCCAAAAACAAAAGAAAATAAAATTTGACCAGAGGATAAAATTGAACCACGACATAAACATATAAGTGTTTGGTAGACAATGAGAAAGTGGATTGGTGAGGCGACCTTGGACGATTTTTAGCTGCCTAATCAAAAGTTTAAAGTTATCATAGGCAAAGCCCTGACCCTAGATTTTCGGAAAGCGAAAGATTTGAGCTTAGCAGGAACTGAGAAATCTGACAACGTAATAACGAAGTATGTCGCTTACGGTGAAGGGTTCGCATTTCTGTCGACGGGCAAGCCTGGATCAGCTATTTTGTTCAGTTCCTCCAAGTTGGAAGCCAAGTGTAGGTCCTTAACTTTCTTTTTCTCTGACGATGGCATGACAGGTTAAGACGTAGCCATCAAGATCAACATTACAAATTTTCAATTCTATGTTTCCGCAGCCATTTTGAAATTCATGACGTCATCGCATATAATAGCCCTATTTTGATTGGATTCCAAGCACACCAATCCAAAAGAACTTTCTATCGAGCCAAAAAGAGTAACAACCACCGCATAAACAAGATATCTAACGCGGATTGACAAGGTGAAAGGGCAAACGGCGTTTGCATCCTTTCATCATGATACGTTTCTTTCGATCGCGTCGAACGAATTATCAGTTAGTGGAGGGTATGTACTGTTTGCAGATATTTAGCGTCCAGAGTGAGAAATGTTGTTGATTGTCCTGTCGTGTTCTTTGCTCGTGTCTGAATGGTCATGTTTAGTGCATAAACGTGTTATTTAAGTATGCTGAATGCAAATTCAGAGCTCTACCAGTTTGCTTTGGAGAGCTGTTGCTTCATGAACGATATGCGTTGAAACTTTGAAAAGGTCTTAGTTCTCAAAACTTTGCTACGACGCTGGAAGAGCTAACCTCTTCCAATGCAAATCAAACAAATTTAATTTAAATTAAGTAATCGCGCGAGCATTGTGGTGCGTTCGAGTTTTGTTTACAACCGTGTTACAAAGCATGACTTTTAAAGGTAAGGCAAGAGGTCGTCTTTCTCGGTGCTTTCCTATTGAATGCACTGAAGCACGTGTATTTTATGGGCAGTGACAAGACAAAAGCTCGCTTAGACAACTATGATACATAATGCTATGAAATCGACAACAATACATGTGACATCTTTTAGCGCTACGTAATTTACTGAAACCAGTGTCAAAACATATTCGTCGCGAAACTTGAAACAAGAGCATGAGGATATTTATTACTTTACGCAAGCGAATTCTTATAATATAATTTACAAATCCACGCGGGTAGCCAAAAATAGCATATTCCGGCTTGAAGACTTGCATCACTGACTGTTATAGCGAGAGAGAGGTCTTCATACACACCCCCGACCCCACCCCCTCGCTCTGGGTTTTGGATTAGCGCGTTGCTTTGTTCAAAGCGAATTTACAATCGAATTTCTTTGGTGATTTTTTGTTTGAAGTGAGAGGAAACAGAAGATCAGGTCCCAAGGAGGGGCCTTACAGCTTTAGTATCTCCAAGGTATTATGCTTTGATCTAAAATTTTAGACAGTGGCCCTCTTCTGAGCGATTCGTCACCTTTCCTGACAAGTATTAAACATGCTCGCCGCCTAACACACGATATTTTGTTGTCAATCAGCGATTGTCGTACATCAAGCGAGACAAATTTTGATTACGCAACTTCTGGCATTAAGTTAGTTCGATAACGGGCAGTGAAAAGGAAAAATCCGGATTTCTAAAACTTGAAACGAGATCATGTGGTTGGAACGACCTTTGCCTGCGAACGTCAGAAGGTTTCATGGGTATTGCAAAATCTTTTAATATGATATTCAAGGTTTGCGTAAATGCTATATACCTCTCTGTCTCGTGATTGTAGATTTATTTAGTCGATGACATATTTTTCGCTACTGCAGGGGAATAAACTCAATAACTAGGGAAGTAAAATTATTTTCTGTAGACAAACATAGTCCACAGGATTAGCACGAGTTTGAACTATCTGTGTGTGTTTGGTTTTTGGTCAACAAATACATATTTCCGAAGCCCTGACAGAGAAATTAGGAACTTGTTTAAAATCAGATGCGCATCTATATATCATTTGGAAAAAGGACCGCGATTGCTCTCTTAATGTTTTCGTAAGTATCAGTAAAACTGTTTGTATATGAGTTCATTAATATGCATTGTGATGTTATGAAATTAACAACGACAGAAAATTTGTCACGTTTATATTGTCACGCAATCGTCACGTCAGGTTAAACGCCACCAAAGTATTCTGGATAAGAAACCATGATAACGATTGCGTGAAATGCTAAATAATAAATAAAAAGAATAAGAGAGATGGTAAGTTTTAAATAATTAGAGAAAAAATTTGGATTGATATTTACGGAGTCCTCGTCTTAAAAAAGTAGACTTTCAAAAGGAAAATTGAAAAAGGAAACAAAGTAAAAAAAATAAAAAATAAAAAATCTTCCATCTTGACTTAACAACATTAGTAAATAAATGATTAGCTATTTAGCAGAGAATGTAAATTGTGGAATTTCCAAACAAAATCCTGTCGAAGTTTTCTTTGTTCAGTCCAGTAATATGTTGTGACTGTTTTTGCCGGGGTACGTTTTCCCTGCAGCAGTGATAATTTGCCTAGAAGTTACGAAGAAATCAATCGAAGAAGCGAAGAGCACGGTTTTCATTTGCAGGATTAATAATGGTAAAGGGACCGAGTGGAGTCCAATTCGGTCTGAAATTATACGAGTGAATAACAAAATCCGACGACTGCGAAGCGGGAATTCGATTTGTTAATCACGACTATGATTACAGACAGAATTGGACGACAGAAAGTCCTGTTACCAATTAATCATAACCATTACAATTTTCAAAAAAAAAAAACATCTAAACCAAATATCTCCAATAGAGACAATGTCTAAAGTTAAAAGTTCCTCCATTTTGGCAAGTCCCCATTTTTCTTAGGATAAGTGATTGTTGCTATGGTTATTGTGATCAATTCTGTGATTGGTGGATTTAGCTTAATGGACTTAGTATGATTGGCTGCTTCAATTGTCCCATTACAGGTGTTCGAGTACAACTGTACAGAATGATTAGTGAAAAATGAAGCTGCTAATGCACAAATCACATTTGAGAAAATTGTAATAATTATGATTAATCTCGCAATCCCGAGTGTGTAAGGTGGGCCAATGAAAACACAAGTTCGCTTCAACTTGCCCGCTCACGAATCTAGACGTGTGATCAGGCACATTCCGTTTAAGGTCGCGAACCAAAACCAAAGTGATGAAAGCAGCCAATACGAACAAAGAGAATATCCCAAGGAGCCAATAATAAATCAAAGTTAAAACATGCAAACTGTTTAAAGCGAGGGAAAACACGACTTGCCAAGTTTCATTTGACTTTAGTTCTTCATTTCAGCGGTTAGGGAGTTTGCGCGAGTTTTTCCAACCAATCCCTTAGCTTAGTGAGGTAAAACTAATGCAGTCCTGGACTACTTTCGAGAATCAATAAAAATTGATTACGTAATTTTATTTAATTATTTCAGAGTCGTCACATAAACAAATGGAATAGAATGGTGCGGGAAGAACCGCATTTGCCCACCAGGATCATGTCCGTGGCTCAAGGTAAAGTAATTGAACGAGAAAGCATTTACGGATCTCTTTATAACAGACACGTTGAAGAAGATCAAGACAGTAATGAGGACGAGGATAACGAAGGAGATCAAATACCTAAGATCAGGATTGGCATCTGCGCCATGAATAAAAAGGTGATCCTCAGAAAAAAAAAGATTTATAATAAAACGTAAAATCTCTCTTCATTGGACGACTGAACACAAAATAATACTGAAATTCTTTTCTTAATAGAAGCTGTTTAAACTGATGTTTACTGACTTCAAATTTAGCACAATGAACATAAAAGTTGGTGATTACTTGAACTCTATGTAAAATTTCTGCTACTGGTTTTATTCAGTAAAAGCCAGTTTAACTAAGCATGTAGTGTTGGTGTGAATGGGGCATCAATATTTCTCGTTTTCCCGAACTACATTTAGTGAGTTGCCGTCACAACTTCCTGTAATGAAATGCTGTAATGCTAAATTTACAAATTTCCTCGCGTTCCAGACGTTCAGTAAATACCTGATACAAACCTCCCTCGGTTTTCGCTAGCCGTGTACTAACGCGCTTCGCTGGAAGAGGCTACAAACTCCTTAGAGGAACCTGGAAGGCAGCAAAACATTTCAAAAGATTAACAGCGTAAAATCCAAAGATTTTCATGCTGAAATTTTCTCTTTTCTCTTAGACAAGAGCTCAACCCATGCAAGAGATCTTGGGTCGAATGTCAGCATTTGATTGTGTGGACATCTTTGTGTTTCCTGATGACATTATCCTGAATGTTCCAGTGGAAGAATGGCCCATCTGTGACTGTCTGATTTCATTTTATTCGAGTGGATTTCCACTCGAGAAAGCTATTGAGTATACCAAGCTGAGGAAACCTTTCAGCCTTAATGATCTGGAAATGCAGTATGCTTTAATGGACAGGTTAGTAGAACGTAAAGCCAAATAGACAATCCAGTCAAAATTCGCTCAAAAAACTCTTCCGAGAATTCCATTTTTCGTGTTTGTGGGCGTTATTGTGAGAAGTTGATCAGACAGTAGCCTTATTTCAACACCTCAAAACTCAACGTTATTAAAAAAAAAACCTCCTAAAGAACCTTCCTTGAATAAAACCAAGCGCAAAACTTTTATTCTCAGAGGATTCATTTGAGAAGTCTCTCTTGACATTTCAAATTCACTTCAGTCAGCGGTTCACAAAATCTGCGAAATCACCCATAGAGTTCAGCATCTCCTCTACGTATGACTACAAGGCTACAGAGTAACGTGTTCTATATAAGAACATTTACGTTCAGAAAGATCAAACCCAAGAAACCCTTTTCTTCATTGCAGACCGACAATGTACAGCCTTCTGGAGAGTGCAGGTATCGAAACACCAAGACACGCAATATTGCTACGAGATGACGATGGAAATCCCAGCAACACGAAATTTGTCGAACTGGACGATTCAGTGCAGATTGGTGACATGATATTCCATAAGCCTTTTGTAGAGAAACCAGTCGATGCGGAAGACCATAATGTGTACATCTATTTCCCTTCGAGAATTGGTGGCGGGAGCCAGAGATTGTTCCGAAAGGTCGGGGACAGAAGCAGCGTGTACTCGCCAGAAAGCTCGGTGCGGAAAAAAGGTTCATACATCTACGAGGACTTTGTGGTCACTGATGGAGTGGACTTAAAGGTAAAAATAGTATTGGTCAGTGTTTAATCCGTGAATATTTAACAAATAAATTCCATGTTGCTTTGCGTCTGTTGAAAAAAGATATTCCAGATGACGTCAAAATGGGGTAAGAACAAAAACGTCGGCACGCTAGGCGCAGCTGAGTGTGTCACTGATGTTTTTACTACATTTTGACGTTATCTTTTAGCTATTAAATGCATGTAATTTCTGAACAGACGCACGGAAACATGGGATATATCTGTTTTATATGATAAAGAAGAAACTTTTATCAATGGTGACGTCATCTATGCTTCTGTAATCAAAAAGCGTGTATAATTCAGCTTATTGTATATAATGCTGTCTTTGACTCAGGTGTACACAGTGGGCCCAGAGTATGCTCATGCTGAGGCACGTAAGTCTCCTTCACTCGACGGAAAAGTTGAACGAGACAGTGAAGGAAAAGAAATACGTTATCCCGTTATTCTTAACCAATATGAGAAAGAGATGGCGAACAAAGTTTGCAAGATATTTAAGGTATGATGTGATAATCCTCATTGTGATGATACTCACTGCGCGTATTTTCCTCGCCCGTATGGGACTCGGAAAAATACAACGCAGCTCGCAAAACATCCGCGCGTATTAAATATACGCGTTACTGACCACGCGTGAGGTCAAGATGGCTAAATATTAGCCGAGTTCTTTTCGTCTCGGCCCATAAAAACGCGAAAGGGAAAAAAAAAAAGAATTAGGCCGATATCCAGCCATCTTGACCGAACAAGCTTGGTCAATGAAGGATTTGTTATGGAGCAAAAAGATTTCGCTCTAATAAGAATTAAGAATGACTTGTTTATTCCGACAGGCCGGAGCATGTTGCCTGCTCGGTTAGCCAATCAGAACACAGGATTCGCTTCATATTGCCCACGAAGGGCTGCTGGTTATCTAACAAGTGAAACTATCGAATAAGGTGTTTTTATTTCTTCTCACTTAGCAAACTGTTTGTGGATGTGACTTTTTGCGCACTCATGGAAAGTCATACGTTTGTGACGTAAATGGCTTCAGTTTTGTCAAGACATCAAAGAAATACTACGATGATGCTGCCCAAGTGTTGATTGACCTGATAGCACATACACTGGCCCCTCAGTTGTATAAGCCTTACAATTTCGCAGTCCCTGAGGAGATAGGGAAGGCTGAGGTTACGGAAGGCACCATGTTAGAACTCAGATGTGTGGTGGGCATCATCAGACATGGTGATCGAACTCCCAAACAAAAAATGAAGATGGAAGTACGACATCCGAGGTGAGAAAATCTTTGATCATCTTGTTCCCAGTCCACTGATGTCTTGTTTGTTAAAGTTTGCAAAATTAGAACTTTTCTACTCGTGATGAAATACAAGTCATTGCAAGTCGAATTATCTCTATCCTCGGATATTTCCAAATTTAATTTTGTAAAATCATCACACAATAATAACGCAGTGTCCTAGTAATTCAATTAATGACCAATGCCTACCATTCAGTAGTTTTCATTGCGTTCAGAGAAACACTGTCTCAAGGGATGTACATTACATGGGTTAAATTTTAAGATAATTTGGTTTTTATAAAATAAGTTGATAGTGTAAATTGGCCACCGTAAAGAGATTCTAAAGCTAACGTTTCGAATGTTACAAAATGTTAAATACTAGCAAGCGTTGTATCTTTTTCCGGCAGGTTTGTTGAATTGTTTAAGAGGTACGGTGGATTTGATAAGGTCGTGCCGCTGAAGTTGAAGAAACCAACTCAGTTAGAGGAAGTACTAAATATCGCCAGAGACTTGGAAGCCGACGTCAAGAAAGGAAAGCCATTGTTTGAAAACCCTAATAAAATCTATCAGCTGAAGACTGTACTTGAAATGTAAGTTAAATATTAAATTTTCTTTGTTTTAGTGCCATGAAATTAGTCCATTTAAGCATAAGATTATAAGAAAGAGGTCTCTATCGCTTGCTGGCTGTCGAGGGCAGAGCCTCAATTAGCAGTTATGCTTAGAAATTGGGAGCGAATACCGTAACTGCTGCTTATAAGCCCTGGGCTAATTTAACGTAATGGGTCTCTGGAGGGCTTATAACCCCGGGGAGGGCGGGGGGGCTTGTGTCCGAGGGGCTTATAAGCGTGTGTGGGGGGGGGTTGGCTTATAAGCGGCGTTCTACGGTAATCTTACTGTTTTAGTATATAACTATTAGTCGTCCAAAACTTAATCAAAACATTTTTTTAAAATTTTATTTTATTTATAACTGTAAACTGTCAGGCTGCTCAATTTTCTCACAGACTATCACAGAATGGATAGCGAGTGGCGTAAACTACTCGTAAGTAAACTCATGTTAGCGGCTCCAAGCCTGGGAAAACTCGAGTGATGCGGCAATTAAGTTTGGTTTAAGTTTAGTTTTGTTGTGCGATTGAAAACAAATGAAATTCCAGATAACTTTGGACGCTCACTTGAAAAGTGCTATATCAACTATTCGCTGCTTGCTTGATTGCATTCCATTTGTTTTCAAAGTCAAACATGATGTTAATTCTGTAATTACTTGATTTATTGGTTGATTGGTAAATTGTTAAAGGCATTTACTGATTTTTCCAAGGTATAGTAATTTTTCTGGCATCAACGAAAAAATTCAATTTAAGTATCTTGGCAAGCCACGCGACAGAAAAGACAGCGAGGTACGGGAATCTAAATGCAAGAACGGCGAGAGAGAAACAAGAAAGGAAACAAAAGAAAACGAGGCCCTGGTGGACAAGGAACATTCTCTGCTCTTGATCCTTAAATGGGGCGGAGAATTGACCATGATGGGGAAAGACCAAGCAGAAGAGCTAGGTCGTGCTTTCAGGTATTGTAAGTTAAGTTAATTGAGTAATTACATTGAAGCAGGTTTTTGTTGAGTTCCGAAAAACTAAATCCAAAGTAATGACAACACTAGATCAGAGTGATGGTTGGCATCATAATTAGAAAATGTAAAATTAAACAAAATGCATGAAATGCTGGAAAACGCAAGTGTCCAAAGCAGTATTAGTTTTGGTGTTGTATCTGATATGTTGAGACGGTGGTGTGAGTCTTCTGGACCAATCACAGAGTGAAGTGAAGCAATATCAAAGCGATGAGGGATTACTTTCGATACTCAATTGAATCTTTCCCTCAAAGTAAGATGACCATGCTGGGTAGTTGCTTTGAGTTCTCTTCCTTGGCTTTTGGTGACTATGCTGGGTAGTTGCTTTGAGTTATCTTCCTTGGCTTTTGGTGACCATGCTGGGTAGTTGCTTTGAGTTCTCTTCCTTGACTTTTGGTCTTTTTGTATTGCCATTCTGCCTACAGCGCGTCGTTCAATCAAATCATCCATGCGACTGTACAATTCTAGCACGGTTTTTTGCTCTTGAAACCGCACTTTTCATTACCGTTAAATTGTCTATCGACATTCTTTTTTTCATGATTATCACACAAGAGTCCTTTCTTTTATGTCTTGTCTTTATGGTGAACAGAATGGGGAGTCTCACTTGTAAGCTTAATTCTTCTTGTTTTGTTTTTTTTTTCTTTTGTTAGGAGTGTGTACCCTGGTAGCCAGGGCCAATTCTCGGAATTACCCGGTTGTGGTTTATTGAGGCTTCACAGCACTTACAGACATGACTTGAAGATCTACGCGTCTGATGAGGGACGAGTCCAAATGACGGCTGCAGCATTTGCAAAGGTAACGATTCAAAAGCTACGTTCAAAAAGTTGATTACTGTGTCGTGAATGTCAAGAATCTGTGCTGCTCAGTTTAAGAAACACAGCAAATTTAATCAGAAAATTTCATTATACTACCCTCAGTTCTTTGAAGTTATTGATTATTCCGGTGCCACCTTTCGAATGAAAATAAATAAAGCCATCCACTTTTTTGCTAAAACCTCTAATAGAAATAATGATAATAATAGTAATGATGTTAAATCTGAGAACTATAGGTAAATCGCTGGCGTAAACCGCTGACCAATATACAAAATATAGAGGACGATAAAAATGGTAAAGAGAAAATTGAGAACAATTATGAGAAAGAGTCCAAGCACTACATTTGTGTTCAGTCTTATCTAAAGCCAATTACGAAATTAAAAAGTTTGATTTGAAAAGTTCTCAGCATTTCACAGGTGCGAAGTTCTTTGGAAAGGTATTTCCATTCCTTTCCAGTGGTATATTGAAATGTGGATTGGCTCACAGCAGTTTTATTTCTCGGGAGATTAAGTTCTCTACTGTCTCTCAGGGTCCTACCACCACGGAAGTTCAGATCGTAATACAAAATATACCGCACTTGGTTAGCTCACGTCGGACTGCCGTGTTGGAGGTCGAGGGTTCAAGCCCCAGACCGGGCAAACTCTCAGGGTCTTAAGATCACTGAGGAAAATGAGCTGCCTTTGCTATGACATCCGCAAACGGTTAGACTTTCTAGTCTTCTCGGATAAGTACGATAATCTGTGGGGCCAGTCTTCAGCATCTTTGCTGTACTCAGGTTAGCTGGGGACGTAAAAAAACCCACGCACTTCTCTCAGAGAGCTGGGAACGTAGCTCCCGGTGTTGTGGTGTGGCCTCGTTATTGTTTATACCGGTCCTCTGTCTAAATATCGTAGATATATACAATACATACATATCCTTGCAGTTGCCCAGGCTGAGGAAGCATAAAATGCCGTCTATTGTATAAGTTTAATATTCCAGCTGTGTGCGCGTTAAGTTCACTAAGTTCATCGCTTTAATATAAAGTCTCTTCTTAAATCCCTATTGTTCCACACCCTTCATTTGTCACGATGTAAAGACAAAATCAAAACCGGAGTTCCCCTTAAGGAAAACTGTAACTCCAAATCTTGGGATTCCACGTTCCGATGCTGTTTCACTGAGCCAGAGATACTCTAATGTGAGCCACATGGACATACACTAAGTTCATATGTGGCATTCGACAAAGCAAAGCGAACTGCTCGGATTAGCAATGTCGAAGCCTTTTCTGTTGAAATAAATTAGAAAATACGGTAAATTTCGAGCTCATCGAATAAGACGAATAAAGAAAGATGTTATCTGTTTTCCAAGAGCGTGCGACGAAATTTAAGATCTACCATCTTCTTGATGTATTTAGAACTGTTCTCCAATTATAAGTAATGCGCCAACATCATCAAACAATCAGTTCCTTTGTGACCAGCAACGAAAAAGGCGGAACCACTTTATATTGAAGGAGATTTACTGACTCAAAAACCACCAGTTTAAGGAACTGATTTTTGTTTATTTGCAGGGATTCCTTGCACTGGAAGGTGAACTTGCACCTGTGCTGGTTCATCTGGTACGAAGCGATAAAAACACAACAGAAATGCTTGACACACCCAGTGACGCTTCTCGAATACTGGGAAAGTAAGTGCAATTGCAGGAAGCTTGTTTGTATGTCTGCTATGCTAATTCATTCAGTTTTGCTAAACTGAACTGCTGAAACAGGCTAATTTACATGGCCGTGAACAAGATTAAATAAATAGTCACTGGGAAATCAAAGCAAATGAGGTTTGCTGGAAAGGGGATAGAAGCTTTGCATTTGATTTGTTGATAAAAAAAAGAGAAAACATCAAAATATGGACATAAGTTTAAACCGTAAATCGAGAACGCAGAGTTTTTGGTTGGGAGACCAGTGGACACAAACGCCTTTAGTGTCAGGAACACAATGAATAGAGGCTTGTTCAGTGGCGGGAAAACAGTCGGGCTTGTGTAGTGTCGGGAAAACAGTTAGCAAAGGTGCGTTTTAGTGGCGGGAAAACATTGAAAATACACGAGTTTAGCGGTGAGGATTAAAAGTTGCAAAATTCTATAGCTGTTTGACTGACTTACTGTCTCGCTTCAGGAATACCTTCCGTAACTGAGACAAGTTAATTTTTCTTGTTTAGAGTCAAGCACAGACTTCATGATCTACTTCACTCTGACGAGGATTTCAAAGAAGAAGATTTTGCCAAGGTGTGTTTTTTATTTTCATGACGGAGTAAATTCGTGACTTGATTTCTAGACGCATGCTGATACTTGTGTTACTTGTCTTATAGAAATTTGTTGACCCGGACCCGGTTTTTCGAAGGGTAAATAACTCTATCCATTGAATAAATCGGATAGCGCAATGATTTTTGCTAACACTTGTCTACTGGAAAGACAGCGGTTTATCTGCTGGATCGCGTTATCCGTCCTTTGAACTAGTGGGCCCAGATTTGAAACTACAGTGCTAGTATTCCTCAGTGGTCCATCATGGTATAATTTTTTCTAGCACTTCGGCACCACGGAGTGCATGGGAAAAAAGAGAAATGTTGTCTGTTTCGTTATTGTTTATAGGCAATTCGTCATTATTTCTGTTTCATTCTTGTTAATGTTATTTTCCAAGATGTTTGAAAGGTCCTTTGAGGGGGTTTGAATAATGCTGAGTCTCAAAATTTATTGGTTCACAATTCATGAAATAATAACGACTTCACTCTGAGGAAATTGTAAGGGGACCAAAGAAACTACATGTTATACAATTTGCACATTTTTCCTACCATGATGTTCAGATGTGCACTCAAGACACGCTTCTAATTTTGAAACTTTGTTACGACAGCTTGCACCAACAAAGAATCCATCACTAATCAATGCCATGAAAGCTATCAAAAATCCCTACAAAATGTGTGAAAGACTTTACAAGTTGGTGCAGAGCCTGACTGGACAGTTAAAGGAGTTGATTAATCAGAAAGTTTATGATCCAAGAGGTATGATTGTGCCTTCTTAGCTTACAGTTTAAATTCTTAGGGCTATCGAATCATTCCTCTCTTTCCGAACAACCAAAAGCTTCGCACTTAAGGGAGCCAGAGAAGGGTACCGGTGTTGCAAGCAACCTTTCCCTCTGAGAAAGAGTGTGCTTCATGGAGTTTCGGGTTCGAAATTCCTATGAGCTCCGAATTGGCATTTTCCGAAGGATGAAACAGAGCAATTCAATCCAACTTTTGCGCAATTTAGAACGAAATGATTATTCCACGTCTTTCTCTATTGATTTCAATTTTTTTTTATTTAAAGACCCATATTTGTACCAGGGCGAAACACTCGAGCTCATGATGCACAGATGGACAAAATTAGAAAAGGTGACTTTTTTTAAATAAAATATCGACTGGATTTAAGTTTGTGTAACCTAACTTGCGCGCTGAACAATATTCCTCTCTTGCAGGATTTCAAGCTTAAAAGTGGTCAGTTTGATATAAGCCTCATACCAGACATATACGACTGTATCAAGTATGATGTACAACATAACAGGTTTGAAAATTTCGTTAGATCATTTGAACAGAACAGGTATTGGTTATAAACTAAAGTTTTTTTTAATTGCTCCGCTCCGCTGTTATAATTACGATGTCTACCGTTCCAAAAACTAAGTTTTTTTATTCTGTTTGATTGCTATGAAATTTTAGTGATCTAAACCTGGAAAATAGTTTGGAGTTATACAAGTGTGCCAAAGCCTTTGCCGATATTGTTATTCCTCAGGTGGGTTCGAATCAAACAACTTTTTAGGATAATCTTTTTTTTTAAACGAAAATTACATTTCCTTTGCGAAATTTCAAACACCAAGGCTAGGAAGGTTTTAGAATACC